TCGAGGGCTGCACCGTTCCTGTGGAACTCGCTTCCCTCCTCCGTTAGATGCTCACCCAGTCTCCACTCCTTCAAAAAATCGTTAAAAACCAACTTCTTCATAAAAGCGTATCAATTAAACTGTTAATAGCTCCTGACTGATTTCTCTTCTGCAACTGTCATTAGTCTATCCTTACCTTTTTGTGTCATTTTACCCCACTTCCTCTAGCATGTAAGCTCATTGAGCAGGGCCCTCAACCCCTCTGTTACTGTGTGTCCAACTTGTCTGGTTACAACTACATGTCTGTTCGTCCACCCATTGTAAAGGTCTGCGCAATTTGATGGCGCTCTATAAATATCATAAAAATAATAATAATAATAATAATCAATCCAATTTAATATATTAGTGTGTCTTTGATGATGGTCAATTAACCCCACAACTACACATACATTCTAATCATTAGTAAAATGTATCAAAATCCTGTTGCTCCTACACCATGCTTTGCTAGATTCAGATAAATATGTTCCTTGATATAATGTTTGCATGCACATGGAAAGGATAAATAAAAAAGTGTTAATCATAAAATATATGAGAAAGACGATGAAGCAAAAATATAATATTATTGCCATCTGTATTCTGATCACCTTGTTCTAGTAACCTCAGCTAATTGCAATTAATTCCACAAAGGTCATTAGATACATTAGCTCTTCCTTGGAGGACAATTTCTCATTGTTAAAAACACTGCAAACACCATAATTACTACAGCTTTATAAATTTCTGCAGCCCATATTGCTCATTGAAGAGTGTAGGAACTTTAATGTACACACCCTGTAGAGCTGTGTGTGCTGTGCAGAAAAGCCAAACAAACCCTGCACAATTCTGGAAGTATTTCTTATTTTCTAAAATTGGAATTAAAATTAGTAATATACAAAGCAGCTTATGAATAGTCTAATGTCCTCAACCTCTCTGCAAGTTTGTCTGTGCCATTCCCTTTGTGAATGTGGTCCTTATTGCAGACTATGGACAGCATGTGTTATTACTAATCTTGATTTAGAGAAAGCATTGCCTCGCACAGTGCTGAAGTAATGATTTTTAGAGAAAGGAAATTAATTTCAGACTATCAGCCAAGGAGTTGCAAGTCTGAAGAAAAGAGGAGATAGACAGGCATTTAGTCTTTGATTTGGAACATAATATGGACACATAGAAGTGACAAATAAGTGTAAATAGGAAAGGTGGCATACTTATTCTAACATGTTCCTTTAACATTATAGAATTTTTTTACTGAGGATCTGAATGATTTTTATATTTTCATTTGCTTTTTTGTTAATGAGCTGTGAGACAATCATTGTCTCTTCTCCTTATGATCAAACCTTTTTATTTTAATTTATAGACCACTGCATATCACCCAATTGTCTGAGATGTTGTTAGTACGCTCATTCCCTGCTAAATTAACTTGTGGTTTTTCTGCCTATGCAGAGCTCTATAACATCACTTGTGGTGGCTGACAAGCACACTGCGTGTCTGTCTGATGTGCATTCACAACAAGCAGACAATCCTTTTTTGGCACAACTCTTCACCCTATGTATCACCAGTGTCACTCAATATTCCGTGACACACAAAAAATGCTTGGTCAGGACTCAGGAGCAACTATTCTTCACATGGCCATTATATTCACCATTATCATTAAATTCTGCATCCATTACGCTAACCTTAATCATAATTGTTCTTCTAAACTCTCATTGCTAATCATGTTCCTGTGAGAAATGGGATTATGGTGGGCTTACCCTCCGTAATGCACATCAGACATGACCCTATACTCAGATCTAGTTTGTCTGCAGACCCATATGGGATAGAAAATTAAATGGGGCGGTTAATATGTTGTAAAAAGAGGGGGGTCATAGATATGGTGGTGAAAGAATATATAAAAAAGGTTAAATGACCAGGAGTTGTAGTCTTTTTTTTTAATCTTATATCACAATATAACTATGTAAAATGTAGGAGGAGGGTACAGAAGGTGTAAATGAAGAGATATTGATCATTGGGTGTGAGGATGTGAATGTGCACACATTTCTGCTTGCATTTGTTCTAAACTCTTACATTTCTGTGTTTATTATTATTTTATGTGAACCTTGGACATATCTGTGCAAGCAAATGTCCTGTGTATGTGAACACTAAGGTTAAATTACCTGGTGTTCTTTTGAATGTACGTTTGCTTTGAGCAAATGTACTTTCAACTTTTGGGAGGAAACTGAGATCAGAGTACAGGCATAGTTGATTTAATATCTAGCTTATCTCTATTCTTAAGCCCCTTTAAAGCCCACTGTGAATAATGTATCTATTCACTGGAAAGCAGGACCTATAATTGATACCTGATAACGTTAAAACTTGATTTAACTGTTTATAAAAAAAAATTGTGAATAATACTTTATTGTTTTTCAGTAAGTAAAATAGAATAAACAAAATTAGATTTGCAGGTCAATTTAACTATGTTGTAGCTTTTCCACTGTAAACAGGTAGAAACACCTATTGATGCAATTAGTTTTTTTTCCTATGAAAGGACTATGTTAATTTTTTTGGGTTGCAATGTGTCTGCAGTATGAAACAATGACAAAAAGACAACACTCTGTTAGAATGATATAATGTGTATATAGCATTGACCCGACCATGGCATTGGAAAATCTTTTCTCTGAAAATACTACATGGTCTGGAGTGAGTAATGCAAAACAGATAGACCATTGAATGAATTAGAGATGCATGGCTGAGAGTGGCACTGTGCAAACAGAAAACAGGTGTCAATCAAAGTACGTTTATCATTTACTATAACTGTGTATTTAAGTTCGGTTTTATGAATTGTGTACTGATAGTTATGATACATCTCAGTGCTGAAAATGAAAGTTTATGGTTATAATGACCATGGTGTAAACTTTATTGGGTTTCAAATATAGTTTAATAGTATTTTATAGTTGCTGGCCAACTTTGAAAGATTATCATTGGTATTCTATATCTTAAAACACTAACCTGAGTGTGCAGCCTTGCAAATCAGATCAAAATGCAACCAGTGAATATTCATCCCAATGTGAGTAATAAACAGTCTGCCCACAAAAAGGAAAAAAAAAAAAAACATAAACAGTGTTCGTTTTGGGAATGAAAGACTAGAGTGTACAACTCCCTAGCACACTCACACGATTAAATGCACGGTCCACAATGAACCTTCTGATTAACATATAAACTCACTTTTTTACAAAAGCGTATCAATGAAACTGTTAATAGTTCACACACTGAAAAATCACACACTAAGTTAGGGGTAGTCAACTTTTTAATACCTACTACCCACTTATGATACAATTTCCTTACTGCCCACTGGTCAGTGGTGTATCCTGGTTTTGTACTGCCCTATGCATGACAAAACTCTGCCCCCCCACCCCGCCTTTTAAATACACATACACACTTATTGACAGATACATATATACTCAGTGTCAGACACACACACTCACTGACAGACACACATACGCACTCACTAACAGACACACACACTCTCAGAAATAAAAAGAGGGAATAAGACCATCAGAAGAAAGCTCTAAAACTGGAAGGATATAGGGATTCACCAAAAACCCACAGAGACAGTATAGAAAAAGAGTGTTGTACTATATAAAATAGTGACAAGTATCCAGGAGATTTCTAATATAGTAGGTTAATGTAGAATCTCGTATAAAGTTTAGACTAAAATGTTTGGATAGAGTATAAAGTGGAAACAGTATCTTTTTCAGTGTCTGACTCCAAATTACTCAAATACCTTGAGAAAATCTGTGTGGTACAGGTATCTTTAATCCTGGTAAAAAGTAACCCAGGGTAAATGTCACCATTACCAGATATTCTACTTTCATACTGATAAAAGATAAAGATAAAATGCAGAAAAAGTCATAAAAATATACACTAATATCAAGCAAAAACAGTACTTGGAACTGGTTGCTCTAAAGCAATATAAAAATGTCGCTAAAACAACTGAGAGTATAAAAGACAATTTATTATCAAAATAGTAAAAAAAAAAAGAAGTGAAAAATACATCCACAATATATTGACCAGTCAATTGAGGGTAAAATTTGGTAAAGAAACCTTAGTCCCAGACACGGATGGTTGAGGATGCTGTTTATGAACTTGTCATGAGGACGGCGTGCGTGCCACAGTGCGTGCCACGGTGCGTTCCACTTTGGACCTCACTCCGAGGGATTGGCACTGCTTGCAAGGTGATGTTAATGTTGCTGTCTGGGATCCAAGTTGATTGGAAATTCTTATGGTGATACCCTGGCCGGCAATAGCTATGTGAATTTTCTTCAGTGAGACAGCATTGAGAAGTATTTGCATGGTTTGGTCTCTGTGCAATTGCTGCCACATGAGTTTGGCTTAACTGGAGTAAGCAACCAGGATCAGTTGTCTGTTTGACAACCAGGGTGGTGTAAGAAGGTTAATTTATAAAGGTATCAATTTTGTACTCAAATCTACAAGTTTAGTAAAATGTATGTAACCATACATTTTCATTCCATAATCGAACGGATAATATAGGCATCAAAACAATTTTGTCTTAGTGACACAGTTTTGGTGTGAAGAGCATGCCCCTGCAGTCTCCATGCTTTATTCTCTCCCATTTAGGAGTTAAATCACTTTTGTTTCTTTTTATGTTGCCCCTGCCACACCTGACTCACACAGCATGCATGAAGAAAACGGTTTAATTGTAAATCAGATGTTAACTTGATTTATAAGTTTTTATCTTCTGTTCTGTAAATCGCACTCAGCCCAGACAGTCCCCCCTCTCCAATTTAGGACCTCCAGGGGCTACATGCAGCGGCATACATACCGGGGTTGCAGGGGCCACGGCTGTGACCGGGCCCAACCCACCAGTGGGCCCAGCCGCCCTGTGACCCGGTATGTACCCACTGTGGCAAGCCTCTTCTCTTGGGGAGCCCAGGAGCCGGCCACCTCAGGGTCCCCCCGAGGCTGGCCCTGCTGTCACTCGAGGCTGGCAGGCGTGCGATGGAGCACTCTCCCCTCTGTGCTCGCTCTTCAGCTCCCTCGCGCACTGATACCGGAGCCGGAAGATGATGTCATATTCCGGCTCCGGTATTAGTACGTGACGCGCGAGGGAGCTGAAGAGGGAGCACAGGGGAGAGTGCTCCCTCGCGCACCCACCAGCCTGCCAGCCCGGTGACACCACTGGACTCCAGGGAGTCCCCTCAGCTCTCCCACAGGTAGGGAGGCTGGGGGGATTAAATTTTTTTTTTTTAAGTGTGTGTGTGTGTTAGTGTGTGTGTGTTAGTGTTAGTGTGTGTGTTAGTGTGTGTGTTAGAGTGTGTGTGTGTTAGTGTGTGTGTGTGTGTGTTAGTTTTAGAGTGTGTGTTAGTGTGTGTGTGTGTGTTAGTGTTAGAGTGTGTGTTAGTGTGTTTGTGTGTGTGTTAGTGTTAGAGTGTGTGTTAGTGTTAGAATGTGTGTTTGTTAATGTTAGACTGTGTTAGTGTGTGTGTGTGTTAGTGTTAGAGTGTGTGTGTGTGTGTGTGCTAGAGTGTGTGTGTTAGTTTTAAAGTGTGTGTGTGTTAGAGTGTGTGTGTGTTAGTGTTAGAGTGTGTGTGTTAGTATTAGAGTGTTCGAGTGTGTGTGTGTTAGAGTGAGTGTGTGTTAGTGTGTTACTGTGTGTGTCTGTTAGTGAGTCTGTTTGGTGTCTGTTAGTGAGTGTGTGTTTTGTGAGTGTGTATGTGTCTGTCTGTCAGTGAGTGTGTATGTGTGTCTTTCACTGAGTATGTGTCTGTCAGTAAATGTGTGTGTCTGTTAGCAAATGTGTGTGTCTGTTAGCTAGTGTGTATGCGTCTGTTAGCTAGTGTGTATGTGTCTGTTCATGAGAGTGTGTGTGTGTGTCTGTTAGCTAGTGTGTATGCATCTGTTAGTGAGAATGTGTGTGTGTATCTTCAGCACTTACCTTTCTCCAGCGCCGGATTTCCTTGGCACTGGGGATCTCTCCGCCCGATCTGCCTCTCAGCTCCGAATGCGCAAGAGCAAGAGCCGCGCGTGCATTCAAACCGCCCATAGGAAAACATTACTCAATGCTTTCCTATGGACGTCCAGTATCTTCGCACTGTGATTTTCACAGTGAGAATCGCGGAAGCTCCTCTAGCGGCTGTCAATGAGACTAGAGGCTGGATTAACCCTCAGTGAAACATAGCAGTTTCTCTGAAACTGCTATGTTTTCAGCTGCAGGGTTACAACTAGAGGGACCTGGCACCCAGACCACTTCATTGAGCTGATGTGATCTGGGTGCCTGTAGTGGTCCTTTAAGTGTATGTGTATCTGTGTACATACCGTGGCCTGCGACCCCTGCAACCAGGTGCCTGCCACCATGTGTTGCGGCCCCGGCCAGCGCAGAGGGGCCCACGGATCAGTTTCCGCACCGGGGCCCCATGGGTTGTGTGTATGCCACTGGCCTCATGGGTGGTAACAAGAGTGGTCACATGGCTACAATAGGTGTCCACAGTGCTGCCAGTCAGGGGACTGCCTGAACTGAAAGGCAGTCCCCCTGCTGAAGAAAAAAAATTTAAAAAAGTTTTAAAAATAAATAAATAAAAGGTAATACATTTAAAAAAAATAAAAATTATATGTATATATATATATATATAACGTCATACAAAAAAAACACTAAAATTACACACGTGTGTATATATATATATATATATATATATATTAAATATAATAACTATATATATTGTGTATATATATATATATTATAAAAAATAAATAATTAAAAATAAATAAAAAACTGTAAAAATGATTTCAAAAAATTATATATATATATATATATATATATATATATATATGTAATTTTATTCTAACTGTATTTTGATATTGATATTAATATATATATATATATATATATATATATATTTATATCAAAATACACTTAGAATGAAATTATATATATATCTATGTATATCCCCTTAACGACCGTGGACGTACTATGTACGTCCGACCAAAAAACGGCCACTAAAGACAGCGGACGTACCTAGTACCACCGCGGCAAATAGGAGCCCTGAACTTACCTGGACCAGCGATCACGGTCGGTGGTGACTGCCGGAGACCACAGCAGTCCTCCTGATGCTTTGGCCACTCTGACCCTCCAGGGCCATTTGATCACCATGATCACATCGCCGCAATAGGAGTCTAGGAACTGCCAGCAGGGGAACTGTCTGAGCTGCCATGGCAATTTTCACAACACAAATCTCCACGTCTATTATAGATCCCTACAACTCTCATGGCTGACCACATAATGGTGCAGAAAAAAACAGCAATGGACGGTTGCAAAATGGTTAGACTAAGCACTGGATCTGTCAACTGGAAATCCAACCAATGATGCATAATGATGGATGTAAGAAATTAGGAATGAAAAGGGTATGCAATTGATTTCTTCAAAAATATACATGCATTAGAAAAATAACGATTTGGTATATTATAACAAAAGGATTATACTGATCAGCCACAAAATCAAAAGCACCTGCCTAATATCATGTAGGTCCCCCTCATACTACCAAAAAGTCCCCCATGGATCAGATTTATTGTTCCAGCACATTCCACGTATGATCAATTGGATTGAGATATGGAAAATTTGCAGGTTAAGGCAACACGCTCAACTCTTTGTCATGATCCTCAAAACATTCCTGAACAATTTTTGCATTTGGTAGGGTGCATTATCCTGCCATATCTTCCCCAGGTAAGTGACACACTCACAAATGGCCATCCACCTGATCTAAAAGAAAATGTGATTCATCAGATAACCCTTTTCCATTGCTCCATTCCCATTGAAAACGGTGTACAGGGGTCATCATGGGCACTCTGAGTGGTCCGTGACTACCTACGCTGTCTCATATGCAGCAAACTTCAATGCACTGTGTGTTCTGTCACCTTTCTATCATTGCCCGCATTAAGTTTTTCAGCAATTTTAACTACAGTAGCTCTTTTGTGTGATCAGACCAGATGGGCAAGCTCCCCACGTGCATCAATGAGGTTTGGGTTCCCGTGATCCTGATGCTGATTCACCAGTTGTTCATCCCTGCACCACTTTTGGTAGTTACTAACCACTGCATACTGAGAACACCCCACAAGACTTGCTGTTTTGTAGATGTACTCACCCAGTCATCTAGCCATAACGATTTGGGCCTTAGCAACGTTACTCAGATCTTTTCACCTGACCATTTGTCCAGCTTCCAACACATGAAATTTAGGACTGACTGAACACTTGCTGCCCAATATATTCCACCCATTGACTGGTGCAATTGTTTCATTATAATCAATGTTATTCATTTCACCTGTCAGTGGTTATAATGTGGTGGCTGATCAATGTATGTTCCTGCTGTAAGGGGATAGGCTGTTGGTGACTCTTCATTAGCATTAAAACATTAAACAAAGTTTAATTCTGAAAGGAAAGAGAGTCCAGGGGGCCCAGAGTCTATAACTACTTCAACGAGATGAAGCAGTTACAGTACCTACAGTGCCCTTTAAAGGTGGACTATCACTTCTCTGTAATTTTACACAATTGAATAAAACATTGAAAATCACGTATACCTTCCGTTAACCATTCTGATGTACATTAAATTTGCCTTATATTTTATTTGCAAATTATATCACTAGCCAGTTCAGAGAAGTCAAAGCTAACATTGCTTCACATCTCCTCTTCTCTATATGTTTCACTTCTTTTCTTGTCTGTATGGCAACTACCAGGTGCAAAGGACAGAGCCAATAACAATGATTGAACGAAAGCAAATATGGAAGTGTCTGGTTGCAGGGTACAGAAGAGTGGGTTTCTAAGTTTAATTTATTTTTCACATCTCAAAAAAACACATTTGTTAAATAGAAGAAAACATAAACATAATATGAGTTACAGTTCTCTTTAAAGCCCAATCTATATATTGCAACATAGGTCTAAACTGCTTTATCCTTAAGAGTTAAACATGTAATCTGAATGTAAGAAAAATGCTTAGTCTTAGGCATAAGGCATTCTATTCTAACCAACATCTGTTGCTTCTGTTACAGAGATGGCTGTAGGGAGAGGTAAGAATGCATTTGTATATTAGTTGGGGAACAGTGACATAAAGTAATTTAGGCTGACAGTGAATACAAAATTGTCAGCTGTTGTGTTTGTGCACACACCACTGATGATATAGTCACTGGCTGAAGTCAATTTAACAATTGGGTTTAATACAAAAATGTATTTGATACAATACTTGTCATTATATGCAAGGACATACTTGAAAACGAGAGAAATCTCAATGTATCCATCCTGGTAAAATAGTTTACAAATAAATAAATATCTATCCCCTGATAAAGTACACAAGTAAACAGATTCTCTCTCATTTGGTTTATCCTTGGAATCCCCAGGCTTAACCCTCCAGCTGTTTCAGGACTACAGTTCCCAGAATTCCCTGCCAAGTGATGTTTGTCATAGAAATCTGGGATCTGTAGCCCTATAATAACTGGAGAACAAGGTTAGACACCACAGCTGGAGGGTTTTATTACATAAAAAAACAGTCATCTATGAAATTATTAGCATTTCCGCTACTCTGTTGCATTCATAAAGAAACCCCAACACATGTCATCTACTAAGATTTACATCCACAGAAAATATGGGAGAGAAAAATGATTGGTATTCAGGAATTAGTGCTAGGACCAGTTCCCAGGAAAAAGTTAATCTATATCTTGATAAAAATCCTCCTCCATTAGGTTTGGCTAAAACAATATAGTATGGGCTCTTCTTAAAGGAACACTATAGGGTCAGGAACACAAACATGTATTCTTGACCCTATAGTAAAAAATCCACCATTTGGGCCCCTGCAGCCCCCATAAAAGAATTAAAACTTACCTTATTTCCAGTGCCACGCGGGTCCGCCGGCACTGCCCCACCACCTTGATGACATTATCAAAATTGACGATTTTTAGTCAATCCAATGCTTTCCTATCGGGAAAGCATTGGATTGGCTAAAATCGGCAAGGGGGTGGGGCCAAACACAGTTAGAAAAAATCAGCGTCCCCATGCAATGCATGGAGAGGCTGAACGGCAGTGATGCCTACTGTGCAGCACTCCCCCAGGAAGCACCTCTGTGTGAATCTGTGTGCAGTGTTTGTCATTGTATGTTTACTGTGTCTGTGT